GTGTCTAAACAAAGCCATATTTGCAAACTTGTATTTAAGAAGATATCAGTCTGGTGCATATATTTACTAAAAGTTTGATAGAAATGACTGCTTACATCTTATATTTGCATAACTGTCCAGCACAGTTATTGTTTTGTTTACAAAAGACCTTGAAAATAATAAAATCATAGCATTTACAAGTTAAATTATCTGTTTTATGACCCAGGGTAGCCATTTTTTCTGTTTTTTTTGCCCCCTGGGGCCTCACATTTCCTAAATATTTTCCCTGTTTCTAGCAATGTGGAGTATTTAGTATATATTTAGGATAGAACACACTATTGTAAGTTTTATTGAGGTCTTTTTGTAATTCTAGCTTGTACTTTTTAATGCCACGGTCACAAAAAAACACATTTAGGTGTTACGGCTTACTTTTGGGTTATCGACAGGACAAAAATAACCTAACAAAATTATTTAGGAAGGATCAAAGAGTTGCAATGACTGCGAAGAGTAAATATAAGCACTTCTAAACAATTTAAATCACAAATAGGCATATATTATGAATTTATTTTGAATTCAGTGCTTTAAGTAAACCATGCATACTGTAAACTGTGAATTTATGCTGAGTCATCATAGTTAAGGCTCAGGATTTTCTCAATCTTCATGAAATATTTATAAAACTTCATATTTGAGTTGAATTCTTTAAAATCTCTGAGATAAACCAGATTTTGTGAAATTCTGTATGTTCTATTTTTTAACCCTATATAGGTTGCAATTCTGTAAATATAGACAATGCAATTTCCCATAGGAACTCCCTTTGCGGCTAAAACTGTGACACTTTTACTATGAAGTTTCGTGAAAAATAATATCCCAGAACGGAAAGTTTATATGCACTACTATTTTATTCAAAGGTCAAAATATAGGGCTGTGCGGCATATTTTCAACATTTATATGCCCTTAACTTCTAAGAGTTCAAACTTATACTAAAATTCTATACTACCCTTACCTTCATATTTGGACCTCCTAAGAATTAAAATTTAGGGCTACCATGTTTTTCTATACTGGTTACATTCCCAAGTGATGTCTCTATGAGATGAAACACAGAGATCATAAATGGGAACCAGTACATTAACAAATTAACATATCTATGAATATTATATATCACCCCAAAAGAGGCGTGGTTTGAAAAACAGCTGTATTTACAAAGTGCAACCTATAGTCCTAAATCTGACCATTAAACAGATCACTGTTGCAAACAAACATATATATTTACATTTTAAATTGCAATGAGAAGGAAATATTCAGTCAAGTAAACCATAAAAATTCTGGCTTAATGTTTCTGATAAGAAATACAGAATATTCATATAGCAAATATTGTCATTTAAAAAAAATGAACTTTTAATGTCCTTTTCAGTATATATGCACTTGTGGTGAAAGGTAAAATAACTAAAATACCGAACATTCCAAACGGAAAGTCCTTGTGGTTATTATAGCTCCTTCATTATAGTTTAAAATATATAAATGTGACTTTGTCGTTTCAAAACAAACATTCCAAGGTGTAGTTAATATAACCTTGTTTTTACTACAGGTTACATTTGTATATAAATAATTAAAACATCCGTATGATTTATATTTAGCTTAATGCGGCGTTCACACAGTGCCGATTATGGCTCCCGTTTGAGATCAGACAACGCTAAGACACGAAAAGTTAAAAAAGCGGATTACTATCCTCATTGATCTGGAATGTCCTAACATTGTCTTAACGAAGCCGTATACATTCGTAACAGATTCCTACGGACCGGGAATGGTCCGGAGAGGTCGGACAAGCACCCCGAAAGTCAGCCGATTTTGTCTAGTTGGATTACAATCGTGACTATGTCGTGACAGATTCTGAGGTATCGGATTAAAATTGTAACAATGTTCTTGACGTTGTCCTCTGGAACGTGCATGATCTAGAGAAATTTGTCATTGCTGTTTTTTTTGCCGATTGAGTCCAGATTGCATCCAGATCTTGCCGAATGCGAACCGTCTTTGCCGAAATCGTTTAGGAAAAGTCCCGTTATATATACGAAATTCGGCAATGATACATGTACCCACGTCAGAGTCCCGACAATTACAGGTCACAATACGACTGAGTCCAGACAAAGCCGTGTGCAATGCGGTACTGCAAACTGTGATAGGATCGCGTTCCGACAGTACCTGATCATCCCGAATATGGCAATAGTTTTCTAACGGATATCTTCCGTCAGCGTCGATTCACTGTCTGGTCACTGTCTGATCTCTGTCGGATCACATTCGGTAGAATCGGGACGCTGTCGGGACAGATTCGGTCGTTTTGTACCATGCGAAAGATACAAATCTGATTAGAATCGGATTGATAACGGGATATTCGGGACAAATTCGGTTGGAAACGGCTGAATTTGGACGCTTCCTGAACAATATCTGATTGTTGTTGTGATTTAATAAATGTTTTTACAAATTTTAATTAAAGTTTGAATTTCCAGCCACGATTCACAGGATCTTGATCAGACTTTTGACAAATTTAAATCGGGAATGGTCCTGTCAAGGACGGCAGTAAAAATCGTGAAAACACAATTATGTAAACAAAGAGATGACGGCATGATTGATATCTACAATTTTAAGAGAAGATAGCTCTTTAAACACTTGAAATACATTTAACTGGAAAATGTTGTCACCGTTCATGTTCTTCTAGCTACACGACAAAAATGGGGCAAATAATTGATTTTTGTCATCAAAATTTAATAGTATGTTCTCTTTAACTACAACATTCAATTAATATACAATGAACTAGGGAAGGAAAGGAAGAAGTATATAGTTCCTTTTTCACTTTACTTGTCAGACTAAGTATCTTCACTTCGTAATCAAATTACAACTTGTAACAAGTGATTGACTGATTGGTTATTTGGTTTTTAACGCCACTTTCAGCACTGTTAGCTCTTTCGGGGACGTAATTTCCCCCTCTTTTTTAATAAGTGAATCGTAAATATCGAGCTGTTTTTTATTTAAATAGAAATTTATATGATTAACATATTATAGAAATGTTCCCGCGACAAAAAAAATACGACTATTCTTCTTTATATAAATGGCAATAGATTTTTTATGCCGAAGCTTATACGCGTTTTTTCATGTTGATAACAAATTTCATTCATGCATTAAGTTATTGAAAGAAAATATTCTACAGAATGTGAAAAAAACATTGCATTTCCACAAGGTTCTCATATGGATTCCGCGTTCGCGACTGTCCGAGTATCAGTACTTTTGCTAACATTCAATGCCATGTACAGATATGGTAAGATTGTTCAAACTTGTATGATTAAAGATAAATTACATAAATATAAATGCAAAATGAACAGTAGATATTCATTCTGTAGGTTTTCTGTCTTAATGATAAAAAATGCGAAAACCCATTTTGTGTGCGTTTTCTCTTGTTTTATGTGAAAAATAAGGAACTTCAAAGTTAAGTAATTTGTATAAAACATTCCAACAAAATAGCATGAAATTCTTCGTGTAAATTTGTGGAATTAACATATTCTAATGAAGTTCTAAAATATTTTCCATTGAATTCGAAGTATTCGATTAAATTTCTGATTCATGTATCATCCGCAGCTACTAAAAACCTTTTCTTTCTTAGCATTCGGTTAAAAGGCAATAGTATATGCATTCATCCTAATTATTTTCTTGTTACTATTTTAGACCTCGGTCTAGTAATTGTTCGACTCATTCATTTCATCCGCCTCCCTTCATTGCGTCGAAAACCCATATAGAATTAGTATCTACTAAGTAGTTTGTGTGATTTATAATTCAAGCAGTTTTCTTGTAACACATTCATACAGTGCAAAATGATCGCACACACATGTGCAGATGTGCATCTCCTTTTTTAACATATCTGATTTCTGTTCATGTATTCTATTTGTAGAACTTAGTCATTTTTGTGACTGGATGTTATAAAGGGTATATAGAATGTGTCATTGGTAGCTCCTAACAGTTTTCCTTCCAAATTGTTAAAACACTTTGCTTTTGGGGCCAAATTGGGAATTTTGTTTTCAAGATTGTTATGATTATTTCACAGATTGTTTTGACAATTGAACCATTTTGTTTTTTAAGTAAGAGTGGAATTGGTCGGCTTATCTTCTTGTTGTATCATATGCTTGCATAAGACTAAAAGTATAACATATAGGTATTGTAAATGACCTAAATGTTATTTATTTCCATAAATTTTTGAATACAGTATTATTTTTAATAAAAAAGTACTTTCTATTAAATACTTTCCTCTCATCACACACCCAAGTGTACATGTGTCATGATGTGTGTAGTACATTTGTAGATGATCTGAAGTTGTGCACTACCCATCTTGCCTTTTTACTGTATGTTTCAAAATGACACATAGCCATTCCAACACTTAACTGAACTTTTATATTTTACAACAACTTATTAATCAGAGGTCATGTTACACATACAAGTGTAATAGAATGATTTACCTACATACTACTAGGTGCAGAGAATTGTTGCATGTTATTTCGTGTGACATCAGACATCTGAGTGAAACACGTTTCGTAGAGTATGATGTTTTTTTTGGTTTTATTTAGGTCATGCAATTGCCAATGTTGTCTGGTTTTATTCTGTTTACCAGTTTAATTTATTCTTACAAACTTGATAGTCATTTGCAAAGAACAGTATATATGTTTCATTCTGGCATTAAACTAAAGAGTGTAATGCTAGAAAAACATGTGCACCAATTTCTATTGATAAAGGTATAATTTGAGAAATGAACACTGTTGGCTTCGCTCTCACCCCTTATGGAATTTACTGACCCAATATATATCGTATTAGGTCACTGGTACACTATGTAACTAATAATATTTTCTTATATCCAGCTTATGAAGATAATGTAATAAAATTATAAAAAAATACTTTTACAGAACCCCCCTCCCCAACCCCCACGCCCCCTAAAAGAAATTAAAAAAATAAACACCGATTTCGCTTTAAAAAAAAAGATATTCAAGCTACGAAGTATTGCATTTATTATGTATGTGACAACTGCAACAGTTTTTCAACCTTAAGATTTCAACTAACTAGCTTGAGGAAACATTTGTATGTACTTGAAAGTAATATTGAACTTTAGTGTTTATGTATTAAATGCATTATTTTAAACAGAGTTAATTTCTTCATCAAAATTTCCATTGTCAGGAAAACTATTTGAATTTAGTGTACATTGCAACAGTCTTGAAACTGTTGGTCCCTTAAATTTCCATTGAGAAGTTTAAGGGTAGCAGTACAGATATTCTTTTGTTCGCATCTATATCTCCATCCAGTGATGATCCTACTCCAATCGGTGTATCTTTCGACTTCAGTACAATCACTTCTGGCATCCTGAAGAAAAATGTACAATATTGAATGTGATTTATGAGGATGGTAACTAAGATTAAGCTTAAACTTCATTTGTGATCTTTTATTCGGTTCAAGATTAAAAAACACCCAGGCTATTACTCAACTGACCACTCTTGTAATATTTCTTCAAATGCACAACAAAATTTATCAAGAATCAAGTGTATGCCTGAATCCTTAATTTTTGAAACGTTTGGTTACCTTTAAAAAACCATGAAACAAACAGATCAGATAACTTTATCAATTCGGGTACGAATAAATAATAAAAATTCCAGATCAAGTCAGGTTGAGAACTTATTTAATATCGTACAATTTTGTTTCATTTCAGGAAATGAATGTATAAAATCAACTTCAAAGTATATTAGTGCTAATGACGGCATGGTTTCACACTAGCAGACTAAGGGAGTAGTTTAAGCATATTTCACTTTCACTTGCACGTGTTATTTGTTGCCTTTAATACCTGTATCGAGTGTTTTTGTATTTTATTGTTTGTCTTTTAATCGTTTTTCGTTTTTTTGCCATCACATTGGCAGTTTGTTTTCAAATATACTATGGTATCTTTCGCCTCCTGTTTAAGACTTAAGTGCGCTTTATTGGTCGTTCTTATTGTACGTTATTTAGCATACTTTTCTTATGCAACTGCACAAGTACCAAAGGGGAGTACTGAGTGTTAAACTAGCTTAATCCTACCAGATGTTCATGAAGTCATTAACGTCTTAAGTTATACCTTAATGTGTTGTCCTTTAGTATAAAAATAATGAACTGTGTTATGATTGCCAATTATCCACAAGAGTTCAAAAGACCTGGATATTAAGGATGTATAGGTCATCGCACGGTCTACAACAATAAATAAAACCCTTACCGTACACTGTGCTTTAAAAGGCCCCAACATGAAAAATATGAAACAAACGAGAAATTATTTCGAAGTTGGTGGCAGATATTTGATATTCTCTATAATATGTATTCGCAACTTTTTAGACTCGGGGACGATTCATATTTTGACATACGTGTATTTGATAGACACTGGTCTATTGTTGAAAACCATATGCTGACTAGCAGATACAATATGTTTGGGTCGTTGGGTTGTTGTCTTAATGACGTTAGCCTACATGTCCTTTTTTATTTGATTTTTTTTTTATTTGATTTACTTACAGAGCCATCCCAAGTTACTATGGTAGACGTTGCGTATCCGATCTGGACATAATAAAAGACAGGATTTCTTCCATTGCATGAATGACTTGTGATTTCTAATCGTGTAACAGCAGGAGCCGGTCCACCATCAGTTGCATGCCATAAAGACATCGAAAGAACAAGAATTGCTATTAATTCCTACAAAAAGTTGTCCATTATCAGATCCAGTCTGAATCGTGCAATATTTACAATATAAAAGGAAGTTTTCAATATGATAGAATCTCTAAAGGAAATCAAATCGATTCAGATAGTTTGATTCCACAGGGGTCTGATAATGTATATATGATAATTATAAAAAAATAGGGAATGGAAATAGGGAATGTGTCAAAGAGAAAACAACCCGTCCAAAGAGCAGAAAACAACCGAAGGCCACCAATGGGTCTTTAACATAGCGAGAACATCCTGCATCCTATATTATAGTACATATAATTTTCAATATTTTGGTAATAGAGGGATGTAATTAAGGTAGTATCAGAATAAAACTTGGTTCTACTGCATAAAACACATTAACCCATCCCTGCAAAAACCAAGTTACTGCAAAGATCGTTAATATTCATAGCTGGAACTCTCCAGTTTGCAACGTCCAGTAATATAAAGTCTTCATATGGCATAGTTCACGATAGCAAAAGAGTGTGATAAGAACTCCTTAATATAAAAATAAAGAGATGTGGTATGATTGCCCGTGAGACAACTATCAACCAAAATTCAAATGAAATGGATGTAAGCAAATACAGGCAACCGTATGGACTTCAACAATGAAAAAAAAAACCTATACCGTATTGTCGGTTATAACAGGTCACGACATGAAAATTATGAAACCATTCAAATGAGAAAAACTAACGGTCTGATTTATGACAAATAAATGTACGAAAACAATATTGACAGACACGAACCAACAACAACCACTGAACAACAGGCTCCTGACTCTGGACAGGCACATATAGAATGTGACGGGATTAAACATGTTTGCTAACGCCATCCCTCTCCCTAATCCGAGACAGTGGTTTAACAGTACAACAAAATAAACAAACTTTAAAAATCAGTTGAAAATTGCTTAACTTATCAGATCGAAACAAAGCAGAAAAACATCCAACAAAATCACAGACCAGACCTGGCAGGTATTTACAAAATCACAAAATCAAAAGCTCAAACACATCAAACGAATGGATAACAACTGTCATATTCCTGACTTAGTACAGGTATTTTCTTATGTAAAAAAAGGTGGATTAAACCTGGTTTTATAGCTATCTAAAGCTCTCACTTGTATGACACTTGACAGTCGCATAAAATTCCATTATATTGACAACGATGTGTGAACAAAACAAACAGACATAATAGGTAAAAATGTCAGAATAGGGGTATAACAGTCAACATTGGGTTATAATCCTAATCACTATAAAACAAATGAATATGTAACAAAGAAACACAAAATGGCATATAGACAAAGCACATAAGCAAAAATGAAAGACAAAAATACAAAAATTTACCATAGCACAATAACACTATCACGGGATGTACAAGTACCGAGCCACGTCAAATGGATATCACAAAAAATACACTAAACAGTAAAAGTAGTATTCAAAAAGACAAATAAAAGAATACTATAACATGTTATTAAGATGATAAACAACGTCAGTACCCAGAATCAATACTTCAAGACCATCGTGTGAAGTTGATACGGCATATTTATCAACAAGGTCTTGGTATCTTCCGATGATCTTTTTTAGAAAAAGGACGAGACGTTCTTTGACATACCCCTGGTTCATCAACTGCAAGCTCTTGAATATACAGAATAAGTTGAGAAATGTATATCCCATATGCAGGTGAAGTTGGTATATTGCTACTAAGGTGGGGGAAATGATAATTTCAAAATTAAAATCGTCTCTTGAGTCATAGATTCTGGTACTGAGATGACCGTGTATGTCAAATTTGAGGTATAAGTCTAAATATGAGGCGGAGGAAGCCGTGTCTGTTGTTTCTTTAATTTCTAGTTCTGGGGGATATATTAATGGAACCCATTCAGAAAAGTTTGGATTGTTAATGGAAAGAACATCATCAATATATCTGAATTTGAAATTAAATGACCTGTCTTCTTTGATCTTCTTGTTTCTGACAAGTGTCTGAAGGAACTCCGACTCATATGAAAATAAAAAGAGGTCGGCAAGGAGAGGCGCACAGTTTGTTCCCATAGGAATGCCGACAATTTGTTGAAAAAGTCTAACTCCAAATTCAACAAATATGTTGTCAATAAAAAACTCCAGCGTACTGATCACTTGTTCCTCTGTGTAGCATGTTTTACCTTTTTGTTCACTATTAACAAAATATGCCGTATGGTATCCCAAAGTAATAAATTTATAGCGTATTTTCATGTTGAAAAGCATTGTGGATTATTTCTTTTAGACGATTTTTCAATTTTTCATTGGGAATGGTGGTATACAGTGTTGAAAAATCAACAGTTTTGACAGAACTAATTTCAGAAAAAGATCGAGATTTAAAATTATCCAGAAGTTCTTTTTTAGAAACCACATATGGTTAATACCACTACGCGAGTAAACAGTGTTTCTGAAGACCCTCTTTTACTGTGGATATAATTTTTGTCAATCTAATGGACAATTTTTTAGTCGAACATGCAGATGAGCCGGCAATGTACCGTTCTTTGTATGGAATTTTTTGAAATTTTCCGAAATTTATTTCGTGAAGTATAAAGATATTTTATGCTTTACTTTGGCATAAATAATCAACTACTGTTCAAATTAATCAACTTCTATTTTTTAAACACATGTAAATATAATCGTTACAATAAATCAAGAGAACAATCAACAGTCAAACTAATATATAATTCAAATACGGACTGCAATCCGCAATACGCATTACCCAATAAATGGTTAAGGAGAGATAACTCTCTTAAAAGTATGCTTACTTAACTAAACGTCTTGATCATACCAAACTGACATATAACAGATATAAGGTATCTGACCACTTTCAAAAATTACTGTGATGCTTTACCAGATCATTGAGGTTAAACATTTAAGACAGAATTTACACGGAATCATACGAGTTCATAACTAGTTTACCAAAGGAAAACGCGATATAAATGATGTTCTTCGTCGCAATTAATGTTGTTAAAGATATTCAAGATTTTACAACTTACAAAGCCACAAAGGCTGTTCAGCTTTATTCATGTCTTCTAAGTAAGTGACAGAAATAAAAAAATACGGATACAAAATATTATTAAGCCTTATTATCTGGCCGTCAAAGAACTTTTTAATACTAACTACTAATAAATACCCGTAATCAAAGGGCGTTGTATAGGCTTTTGTAAGAACACAATACTTTCGATATTTTTTCATGAATACATTATTGATATACATATTGAAGACATAGATAAACCACTATAGGTCAAAGTATGGTCTTCAACACGGAGCCTTGGCTCACACCGAACAGCAAGCTATAAAGGGCCCTAAAAATTACTAGTGTAAAACCAACCATTCAAACGGGAAAACCAACGGTCTAACCTATATAAAAAAAAACGAGAAACGAAAAACACGTATGAACCACATCAAAAAACGACAACTACTGAACATCTGGTTCCTGAATTAGAACAGATACAAACAAATGCAGCGGGTTTAAACGTTATAATAGGTACCAACCTTCACCCTTACCTGAAACAATAGTGTAACATCACAACACAGAAAGGCACACTATAAAATATCAATTGAAATGGCTTAACTCAATCAAAAGACATATTAACACAAGTGAACATACACTGAACGAATAAATTTGATCTATGACACAATGTAAATACTGTCAATGTATGTATTAAATCATGATTACCAAATATTGTAGATGTGAATATTGTCACTTTCGTGAAAGTAAAAGGATATACGTTACCAAGGTGAAAGAATTCATCTTTTATATGAATCTGAAATGAAATTTTATAAAAATTTAAGAATTAAAGATAAAAAAAAAGTTTACAAACAAAACAATAATTGACTGTGTGTGTACATGCATGTCAGAGGCGGATCCAGGATTTTTGAAAAAAAGGGGGGGGTTATTTCCCGAAAACAAGATATTTTTGGGACAATTTTATGCAAAAAAATATATTTTCCAACCAAAAAGGGTGTTTGCCCTCTACCCCTTCTTGAATACGCCCCTGTGTATGTATGTATGGTTCTTTTCTGATGTGGTGTGTATGGTAAGGGTGACGGTGTGTGTGTCAAAAGTTTTTCCGCTGTGTCTTATAATCCAAGGGGTATAGTGCTTTGCGTTGGTGCAGCGTGACACAAACGGTACAATAGATACTTCAAATATATAATTAGTCAATCTAATATGAAATTTTAAAACATCTTTTGCTTGCAAAACCGAATAACTGTCTAAGTATAATCATAAATGTAAAGATGAAGACAATAAATTAACTGTACCTTGCTTCTAAGATTTATCGAAGGGCACTGAATACCTCGTTAGGATCTTTGTGAAGAAATTTGTTTTAGTTTTAGCTTTTATAGTTTGAAAAGAAACCACCAAATCCTGTTGTTGTTTTTTGTTTTATTTTTATCTATTTCGCAGTTAGTCAATAGTCTGACCAGGTAAAAACTAGATTAAGCCAAATCTTGAGCATGTATAGTGTACGGCTGGGATTATGTTTATCGGGTGATTTGATTGGGGTTGTTCGAGTGTGATCACGTGTTTGTAGTGAATATGATGTAAAATTTAAACAAATAGACCTCTTTTCTGGTAAATCGTTAAACAGATGATTGATTAATAGATGTTTGAACTAAATATACAAGATCATACAAGATAAGAAGATATCATCAATCCTGCATTATTTTGTGCTATAAAAGTCTATCATACCGGCGAGTACGGCCTCGCAATGCGATAATACCAAAATTAGGATAAATCCACCTACAAATGAAATTGTCAAAGCAAATGCAAACATGGAATCCTAGTAGAGTCTAGGTTTTGTAGAGTGAATAAACAAATTTCCCATGGGTTAACATATTGGCTATTACAGCATTAACATTTGAAAAATAATGAAAATGTTTAAATAAAGTACGTTACAAAAAAGAAAACAATTTGATTAAACGAGTATTGTACATTTCATAAAAACAGTATTGCCCATTAGTCAATATAGCTTTCACATGAAGTGAATGTACATCGGAATACGTATGTTTGATATTTGAATATGTCTGCGCACATGTATAGACTGTTCACATCATGAAAGGTCACCGTTTCCAATCCACACCGGCTCACGTATATTTCGATCGATCATATATGTCCACACTTATGTAAACATGTTGTATCGTTGCAAAAATATGCATACCGATATGGATTTCATATCGTGAATTATTGCGATGTGATCAATCTTTCGGATTATTTCTAAGTAGTCATATTAAATTTTTTAGTTCAAATAATGTATTTGTTTATTATACATTCCATTCCATTCCAGCTTTATTGTCACCAAAGATTAAGTATGTGGTAAATTGTACAATAGCAGACTAAGTATGTGGTAATAAATACAGGAACGAATTAAATGTGTGGTAATAAATACAGGAGCGGACTAAATGTGTGGTAATAAATACATGAGCGGATTAAGTGTGTGGTTAAAATTACAGGAGCGGATTGAGTGTGTTTTGGGGAGGGACCCTGACCTCTCATGGTAGACAATTTGAACTTACATTCCATTGTTTTGACTTTTTACTCTTTCCTTTCGGGTTCACCACTGTAAAATATAACAGACATAAAATATTATTGACTGTAAAAACAAAGGTCGCATGAAATAATATTGAAAACATTTATGAGTCCCCTTTACTCTAACGACTATTTGATAAAGGATCAATTTATTTCTACTATATCTTAATACTGTGAGGATGGACACTTTTTTTGATATTTATTCAGAACAAAATATTAACATTTTATTGAAACGCGTTAAATGTGATCGACATAGTAATTCGTTTTGTTTTGTTACTTTTTGTGGATATATGTTATTGTCCTTTGCTACATTACAAAAATGACGTTATAAAACAATAGAGTAAATTTTAATGGCATTAAATGCCTTCTTTTATTCATATTTTGTTTTTAAAAACCCGGACCATTAAAAAAAACCCGGGCCTTTCAAATGTTGTTCTCGAAAAAAAAACTTGGAAAACAATACTGACTCAATGTTATAAAAAATATAGCAGGCTCCTTTAGCATTTTTTTTCATACAGAAATGAACCCTTAATCTCCTTTTCAGTATATATAGACTTGGGACAACAAAATAGTTGAACATATTTTTATGTTACGTTGTCGTTTAATTCAAAACAAATATTCCAAGGTGAAGTAGTTGATAAAACTAATAATCTAATAAAAATACATGTATGCCTCATTGATCTTGGTTTTATCTACATGTTATGCAAATTCTTATAGCATCCGTAATAATTAAATATGACGCAAAACACAATCATGTAAACATAAAAGATAACTGCATGATTGATATCTAAAATAGATTTAAGAGATGAGATAAATCTTTAAACACTTCAAAAACATTCACCGTTATCGTTCTTCTAACTTCACGACCAAAATGAGGTAAATATTTGAATTTTGTCATAAAAGTTTAATAGTATGATATCATTTGATAAGAAGAAACAATCAATATACAATGAACAAGTAATGACAGGAAGGGTATAGTTCCCTTTTTCACTTTACTTGTCAGACTAAGCATCTTCACTTCGTAATCAAATTACAACTTGTAACAGACGATTGACTGATTGATTATTCGGTTTTAAGCGCCACTTTCAGCACTGATGGCTATTTTGTCGCGGCCTTATTTTATTGGTAGAGTAAGCAGGTGTGTCCAGAGAGATTCACCAACGTTCGGCAGGAAAACTGACACTCCCTGTCAATTTAGGTTGGAGTCAACGCACCTGTTACATACGCCATTTCATTTTAATCTTTGCCATAAACCGATTATGGCCAGCCTTCATATGTAAAAAAAAATATACATTGTATATACACCATGCATTCTGGATACCAAACCGCGTTCGTATTTGTGTTTTATAATGTTTTCGTGTCTCTCTTTACTTTCTTTTTTCTATGAACTGAAATATAGTCAGGTGTTTGTCTCCTGCTTTATCAAATCCTCCATTTACACATTGTCTCTAAAATAACTATAGGATTTTCGAAAATTATATGATTATGTCTTGGTAACCCTCTAAAACACTTTCGGCATGATTCAGTTCAGTATTTGTAAATTAGAAATCACAGTGGGTTACTAATGGTAAAATCTCCTGCTATGTATGCATCACCCGCCATTAGAATCACACTCAGTCAAAATGTCCTAATAGGGCAAAGGATACTATTGATAATTCTACAGATCAAACGAGATTTCTAGTAACTAAAGAATTTTAAGACCATCAGGAATGGGTTGAAATACAAACAAATCCTAGTATATTTGTCAAGCAATTTGTTATTGCGACATTGGTAACCTTTAGAGTATCAATTTAAGTCGGTTGTTCTCAAAACCATCCTGGATTAGGTTTTGTGCCAAGAGCACACCCCGTGCAATTTAAACATACACTGTCGTAACATATTAGTTGGTATAGGTAAATGACAAACGGCTATGGGAAAGCGGGAATACAACTGCTGAGAAATGGGAAAGCTGAAACCGTCACGTGTGTGATAGATCCTTGTTGAAGTCGTGCAGCTGTGTCAATATCCAGGAAAAGATCCAAATCGGAAACAGACCTGTTAGATTCTGTAGTATCTTTTATCCCAAGTTCACTTTTATATACGAGATGCTTGCACTGACTGAAGTGTGGGTTATTGAGTGACAGGACATTATCATCTAAAAGTGAACATGGCGAAATGCTTTTACTTCATTTCTTTGAGAAGGTTTAGTATGAATCATAATTTCTGATTAATATGAGTATAAAACAGGTCGACCAGTAGATTTGCACTATTAGTATCAATTTGAATACTGACTGTTTGCTGAAATATCAATCCACCAAACTAAACAAATGTGTATTGATCAACAAGTCCATTATTTTGATGATATCTTCTTCGGTGTATTATCAGAATCAGTATGGTTCTCCGCAAATTGATATTTTTCATGACCTTAAATAAAAAAATTGTTATGTATGGTCACAGTCCCATTTTTATAGAAAAAGCATTGGTAAATGAAAAGGTGTAGACATAGATCTTCAAATTGAGCATGTGGAATAGAAGTATAGAGCGTACAAAAATCTACTTTTTGTATTATTGAAAATTGTTATGATTGTGATTGAAGTTTTTGGGTAAATCTTTACACTTTTTAAGAATTAACATTTCATTGACATCGCTGCTGAGTAAATTGATTGTTAATAATTTTGATTTTGTTGCTTTACTATCTGGGTGGCATATCATGTTTATTGACACTCAAAAATAAAAATGTCGTGAACTGGAATTATTTTCTAGCCTGATTATATTACCGAAACAACAGATAATGTCAGAGAAAGACACGGAAACGGATCTTACACCTCAATGAACAGTTATCAGTGCCAGTGTTGTATTTAGATTGTAAACAAGGTGTGGATGAAGTACATATGTTCCTCTTACTGGACAGACATACGAGACAACTTCAATGTATGATTGGTATGTAAAGTTCATATCAAATAATTCAAATTGATGCGGTTTGATAGTACTAGTATATGGTTTCTCAAAGACCAAATATTGCAATAAGATATAGCAATAAGATGTGGAATGATTGCTAATAAAACAACTCTCCACCAGAGACCAAATAACGTAGAAGTAAGCAGTATAGATGGCTGTGCGGCTTCTTCCACAATGAACAAAGTCCATACCGCATAGTAAGCTATGAAAACAAATAAAAGAGGATTTTTTTATAATTAACTTAAGTAATTTATAAATATCGTTGATGATATATAGATATAGGAAGATGTGGTATGAGTGCCAATGAGACAACTCTCCATCCATGTAACAATTTATAAAAGTAAACCTTTATAGGTCAAGGTACGACCTTCAACACGGAGCATTGGCTCACACCGAACAGCAAGCTATAAAGGGCCCCAAAAATTACTAGTGTAAAACCATTCAAACTGGAAAAACCAACGGTCTAATCTATATAAAAACGAGAAACGAGAACTTGCTATCACATCGACATGGCAGAGATTAACTTATACAACAAAAAGTGTTTTCCGCATGTCGTATGTACGTCAACAACCCAACAATACATCAAAACCAAAAGACATTTAGAGGTAAAAAAAACCGGTGTTTAATAATGGACAGGTATCTACAAAATGTGTGAAGCTTTAAGTCAGTTAATCTGTTTGTTTTTTTTATTTTGGATTCGAAAATACTTTTGTATTCAGCATCTCTGAAAAGACATTACCTGTCGCAAAATGCACATGTGTCTGATGCATTAATGTTGTTGATTTGGTAGCAAGTCATTTCGTACCTTGACCATTTCGTACCTCTGCTATTTCGTACCCAAAATTGCCATTTCGTACCCAATATTTACCATTTCGTATCCACGATAAAAACCATTTCGTACCTTATGGGCTAAATGCATCTACCATTTCGTACCTCTTGAACACAATACATGTTTACTATTTCGTATCATTTCTTTGTAAAAGTTCACATTTTTTAAGATAAAAAACATTATGAGATGATTTTAATTTTTTTTTAAATATAACATAAATAAAATGCATCCTGCCGTAGAAATTTTATAAAGACCGATGCTTGCTTTGATTTAGCAGCACTTGGAAACTTTAATAAACTTTAACAATTGGAAGTATTTAGTTCACCGAACATAATGAATTTAAGCAGGACGAGACATTAAAGAGAAAAGGCAGCACAACTGGAGAAAGTAAGTCGAACATGATATAATACCTGAATTGGACTTATAAGCATGACACACAATACGGGTTGATAAAAAATCCCTTATATTTTACGCTTTTGATTTTGTGTGATATCAGTTTGTTTATTAGAACCTTTACATTGATATATTACTATATAATCAGGTAAGCAATTAAGTTTTTCAGATACAAAAAATATCTTATTTTTTTGTACTTTCGATTATTCCGAGATATATCTTTTGCATTCATAATACAGAATGGAAGAATAATTGCAATTTCTGATTTGGTTATCTGTCCAGGGTTTTCTAAGGTCAAACAACTGGGCACTTTATATCTCATCTCCGAACTTCAGAACTTCTAGTGTTTGCATATTAAGTCAAATGGAATCGAGAATGTTAATTTTATTTATGTTCTTCCTGTTTTCTTACTCTGTATTAGCATGTGACACTGGTGAAGAAATACGCAAAATACATGAGATACTTAAACAGCAGCAATCACAAATCCTTAAACTACAAAATGAGAACAAATCATTCAAAGCAGAAAATGCGTTGCTTATAAAGAACGTTGATAAATTAAATGAAATCATTTCCAGATTAGACCATACATCGGAAGGCAAGGCAGTTTTACAGAAGAGAGTGGAGGATCCAAAGCAATCCAACAATGTTAAAGGTACATATTTGTATATATAATTAGTTATTTCCATTTTCATTTGTCTAAATATTCAAAAAGTTAAATGAAAATATTCAAAAATTCAAGATGTCCTGTTATTGTTTTCTAAATAGATGTGTTTTTAATGAACAAATGTTTTGATAATTTGTAAATTCTGATCCATGTCTCAGCAAACCTTTTTTTATTCCTTGCTGTGTTTGGGTTTTTTTTCCGGAGTGTTTGTTGTTCTTTTGAAAATATGATTTTCGCGGGCGTGATGAAGATGGAATCTACAGTAAATTTGTAGTTTCTACAAACCCTAAAACTAACACACACACACAAGGAAGAGGTACGCACATTCTTATATCTATATATCTTTTCTGATAAATCAAGTTTACAATGGTATTACCAATTCAGAATTTTTTGATATGCCACTTTATGTCTAATGTACTTGAACAGGGGAAACCAAATGCTATATCTTCAAGCAAATTCCCTAGACTTATTTTCTCACAACCGTTCAATGTCATGTTAAATGTGATTAATTGGATCTATAAACGTTTTCTTGCTCCGTTGCAATCATACATAAACACTGAAAATCTTCATATTGTTGTAAACTTAATATTTTATATGTACTGTCTTTGTTTCAGATGCATCATCGGAGGATAATAGTGCTATGCCGGCCAGTGAACCAGTGATTGTGGCTTTCTCTGCTTACATGTCAACAAGTGAACACAATCCAAGCAGCCACCACCAACTAGTCTTTGATGTCGTACAAACTAATATTGGAAATGCATACAGCAAATTTACGGGCGCGTTTGTGACACCAGTCGCAGGTGTGTACGTTTTTACATGGACGATATTTACAGGAGACGATGGACACACATATTTTGACATTCTGGTAAATAATTCGGTGTACGGAAGAATGTTTGGCGACACCGATGATGTCTGTTGCGATTATGACTCCGATTCAGGGACTTTAGTAATATCTTTGAACCAAGGTGACACAGTATATATTCGTTCGTCTCGTCAAGCAACTACACAAATCCCAAGTAGCGATGTTTTGGGCGCAAGGACAACGTTTGCAGGGTGGAAATTAAATTAAAATTCAATTTTTCAATTCGTCAGTTGACTTTTTTTTTATTTTTAAGCTGTCTTCCGTATTGAATGAAAAGGTTGTATCTACGATAGGTTATTAACCTATTGTCAATTTCCTTCAATGATTTTATCACATTTTTCCTAACTTGGTATAGATATTCATACCAATTTCATAAACACTCACTCCTTTTTGTTTTCTTTTTTTTTTCTTTTTGAAACTGAATGAGTGTAAATGAATACAAAGATCTGCCATCTAAACAAGTTTTTTAAGAAGCGAAAACATTAAGATCTATCAACAGAAAACCGCTGACGACGAGGTTCCTGCTTTTATGATTAGCATACAAACATATGAAGGGATAAAATTGATTTTTTTGTTTACCACTAGTCCTGACTCTAACTTTTCAGATGAATGTAAAACAAAGATCAGATCAGAAAAAGTACTTATATCTCTTATACCGGTGTAATAGACAACAACATTGTATAAGTGAAACACATAATACCAAAATATTGCGTCGACTCCTTATAGGGGTTATTGCCCGGATATGACGATTTTTTTATCTGTTTTTTGATAAAAAAAAATATATATATATAGTTTAAAGAAGAAACTGTACTCAGAAAAATTATCAGCAACACATATTAAAAAAGAGATTTAAGTCATGAATATTTTTCCAGTCTATACTGGTGGAGAGTGACCATAATTGAAGGTAAATAATGACAGTGAGCAACACATGCTCTGTAGAGCATTAAGTTAATTGTAAATAGCAAAAAATATACTGGTGGAGAGTGACCATAATTGAAGGTACATAATGATAGTGAGCAACACATGCTCTGTGGAGTATTAAGTTAATTGTTAATAGCAAAAAAAAATTTGCCTACACCAAGGAACTAGGTCAATGTGTTACTGCTATGAATCTTATGGAGGAATATGAGTTACCAAATAAGTATAATATAATTTGATACTGATACTCCAAAATCAAGGAAATGTTTTTATAGAATTTGACTACATTACGTTTTTGAAAGTCAACCAACTGTAAATATTTTGGAAACCAACAAAAAACTTTTGCATTTCAATAAAAAAAATTAAAAAAAAAAAAAAAAAAATTAACATGACTGCAGGGTGAGAACATAGATACTCACTGATTTTTTTTTTTTTGGTTTGTTTGTGTGCATCATACTCTATTGATAATTTTGACATTTGTTAGTATGATACAAAAACAAAAAATACCGATACCTTACCCCAGCCTCGTTAAACATTAGTAGTATATCAAAATTTGATTTGGTTAGTACTTATTAGTTATCTAAATTCTGAAATATATACATTTTTAAATTTCAATATATCCCTATAATATATATATATCAATAAAGAATGATCAATATTTTTGAAAAAGAAGAAGAAAAAAATTAAATAAATAAAAATCACAGAAATTGGACTTTCGGCAACAGCAAAAAAATATGTCTTACTTACAGCATTCGTTCAACTCTTGCACAATTTTAAAGATGTGGCATTCTTCCAATATGAATTTAAAAAAAAACGTATAGTCGGCTATAAAAGGCGCCGACATGAAAAATGTGAATCAATTCCATTGAGAAAAATGACGGCCTAATTTAATACAACAAAAGTAGATATGACAGACATGAACCAACGACAACCACTGAACTACATGCTCCTGAGTGTCTACACTTGTAGCGTAAGGAATAAACATTTGCCTATTAGTGAAGACCGTGTCATGACCTCTTTATAAGTGTTGCTGTTTTTGTGTCGTTTGGGTTGATGTCAGTTCGACGTACACTTTACTTCTCTTTGTCTCTTATCTGAATCACACAGTTTTTTCAATCGCGTATCCATGTAAGTGTAAAATTTTGATTTTCATAACTGCAATGTAACAGTACTAAAAGGGCACTCATTCAAACGTAGATGTGTAACACAATTTTCCTTTAACATTTACTTATCTCGGACATACTTTATAGAAGGTTATCATTCTATAAAAGTCGGTCAAGGTTCCAAAACCGAGTAGTACACCTAAATGTACGTAAATAAAGCCAGTATTATAGTACAAAAGAAGATAAAATTTGGTTATACAGATGTTCAAACTTACAGTGATTGCATAGACACTCGTGATTCCTCGACGACTAAAAAGTTGATTTAAACAATGAATACAAGAAATTGTTGAGTAATTTCAATGGGAAATAAAACCAATAACAAAATCAACTAAATACAAAATGTTTAATTTTAAAAATGGTCCCGAATGATAGGAATATGACATAATGAAATTTAAGGCTAGATGTCGACCAACATTTAACAGCTGATATAGGAAATTTTGATTAGATTCAACAGAGACAACAACAGAACTGAAACAATCACAGAAATTCCTAAATTAGAAAAAAACACTTTTAAAAAAGACAATATTTCTGACTCGGCTTATGCAAATTATGAACTTGTTTTGCAAGAATTCAATCCTCACCTTTATAGAAGGAAATAAATCAATTATACTGATCCATTATATTATCAGGAGAATAGACTCAAGTATCGTAATTTTTCATTAGCGTAAGTTTGATCTTACGGAATTTTATCTTTGATGAGTTCTTATTTAGATTCACACATGAACTGTCTTTTACATCTATCACTGACTTCTACTGTCTTTGACGTTAAAGTCACAAAGAAAATATTTTAAAAATCGTTTGAATTGATTGTCAAAATTTCAATTAAAATGTAAAATTATTTATATAAAAAATGCAGTTGTTGGCCAAATAGTCCTGAGCCAACGAAAAAGCGGCTGGGTAGTCTAAAGGCCTAATTCTATAAAATTTGCGCGAAAAAAATGTGTTGGACAATGGTGTTACCTTCATTTATGATACCAAGAATGTTTCCTGTATTGTTTATCGTGACAGTCATTAAACACCGCAACTGACTAAACGATAACATTTTAAAGTCCCGTTTTTACGGAATAAAATTAAAATCTTTCTGGTATGCCTCATACTCTTTCTTTATTAAAACCATGATCTGCCATATTTAATTCAAATATTGGCCGAATTTAAGGTTCATGTAGCATTAAAATTGAGAATGGAAACGGGAAATGCGTCAAAGAGACAACAACCCGTCCAAAGAGCAGAAAACAGCCCAAGGCTATCAATGAAACACTGTTTTTCCATCGGGCGCAGGACATTTTAGCGACAAATTTTGAACTATTAGGGGACATTTTAACGCAGAAATAAGAGCCCATGTTAGCGCAGGATTAATCCGTTCACCTGTATTTTCGATACCCTATTTTAGCGAATACTTACCTGGTTGAATAATACTGAACATATTGAAGTTATGCTGGCTTAATGTTTAAGTTGTTTGCATTTACACTTTGGTTAATCATTGAAATAAATACTGTTGAAACAAACAGAGAAAAGATAAGTGCAATATGTGATCGCTACCGTTATACTAGGATAGACAGAATATTGAAAGATCAGAAAATAACATGGATACTAGCTATCATCAAATTTAAAACAACAAAATATATCAAAGTAAGAAGTATAGATGAATGCGCACATCAATCTAGACAAGATAAAGAAAAGGAACATTTCCTATTGCAATTTCATGAACAGTATTGTGCAGGGGTATATCAACAGCCCATTACGTGCGTTCTCTACAGTATAAATTCCAGGCTAGATCGGACTTGTAACATTCGAGTTAACCTTTTAGACTTTTAGTGCTGCATTTTAATGGACATGATATTTTTTATAAATCAAAGCACCAAGGGCGCTATAGGCAGTTAATTATAAAACCAAAGGCAAACTTGGCAGGTGTTAAGATGAATATTGTGGAAGAATTGGTGAAAATGTTTATCTCAGCTATTTCTCAAGTATCAAATAATGTTTGTATTGTACTGTTTCTGCTATCCAATCCTACCACTTTCGAAAGTTATTTCCAATTTATTTTTTAAAGATTCAATGTCTGAGATTATGCACATACACTGTCCCATATTAGGGGAGAGTTTTGTGCCAGCTAACATGTTTAACCCGCCACATTCTGTATGGAAATGAAACGTACTAATGCTTCTACATCTGCAGGCCAATTATCATTAACCTTCCATTATTGGTTTCCCTAATACTAACCTAATCAAAAGCTACTAAATGAAATTTCAAAATAACGTATGTTTCCAAGTAAAAAGAGCATGATTGAGGGGACGGGGCCAAATAATCTCAATGGAAATTAGAAATGACAAAGTTATACAACTGCACACCAAATATCATTGACCTACCACAAGTGGTTCCCCCTAAACTGACCTAATCACAAACTTATACATGTAAGTAAAACTATGCAAAGTTTCAAAGTCAATAGACCATGACTAAGGGTGTGGGGCCAAATATTCTCCATGGTACTGTAATGAGATGTGCCTATACTAACATAACTGCTTACCAAATATCATTGCCCTACCATAAACTAGACCTTATCACAAAATCACAAACTAATACATTGTTGATGCTGCCAAAACAGCATGCCTATATATATATATATATATATATATGTATATTTGCCATAGTGTTTATATGATCCGTTCATCCTATTTTTTCTCTTTCAAAATTCAAGAGTCTATCCTAAATTGAGGTAAATTATATGGCCTTCCAAATAACGTTTCGATTCCTAACATCACTGAAGAAACTTTAATTGTCAAAATCCGGATAAGGTGTACAAATTTTTGCACCTCATGTTTGCGGTATACCATCTTTTCCGCAAGTTTATTGTTTTCTGTTTGGTAATAAATTAATAATAAGATCTATGTTGTTACATCTTGTGATCTGTTTATTTGGCAATCGCCAATGGCAGTCAGCAGGGTTTAAGAACATCAGTTGTTCGACCTGCTAGTCAAATGAGTTTGTTAAAATATACTTTTTCACTCATTTGGTCTTTTGGAAAATGTTGTTTGTGCTGTATTTAAACCCCTCTACTAAGAAATTTATTTTGCATGCACACGTATAAAAATTGCGGTTTTTATCCAACGCAATCGTAGGTTTGAACGTTGTTTTCAATTTCGACTTGTATATATATATATACAATGTCTCTCTGTTTGACTCTGTCAAGGCAAGACAAAAATTGCAACAAATTTAACACAAA